TATTTAATAGAATAGCTTTCTTGAATGTATAAAAGCACTAGCTTTTCACCTTTGAAACTTTAGTCGATTAGACTCCCCGCATTAAAATTGCACTTATCTTATTAATATAGTATAACCCTAACCACTCTACAAACTTCATTGCACCCAACATGGCCAATATATCAATAATAGGCACATATATAATGACCAAATGTATCATTAACTTGAAACACATTTGAGACCATGCCAAGCATATTATTTTTGTTATTATTAAATGCTGTTGGAGACCAATACAATATACCCAAGGCATAAAATAACAATCAAAGGTGCCCAAACACATATTACAAATACCTTTAAGCGCCCAACATATTAAAAAGAACAATGTTAACCATTGGTGGCCCAAGTGTCAAACAACACAACAATGAGCCCAACGTGACCATTCAACTATAATAATAGTCATTGAAGACCAACACATTAACATATAATTAAAGAACAATCATGGCGATCCAAGTATAATAATACTTAACGAAGGCGCCCAACACACTTATAAAACATTACTCTTATAATTAGTAAACATTATTTAAACACCTTCATGTAATAGTTAAACATTAAAAAAAAATTAAATAAATAATAAACTGATCTTTAATAGTTTAAAAAAGAAATAATACAAAACCTTCTATAACATAAAAATTCCTTCAATATAAACAAATCCTATATACTAAAGTAAAATCCTATAAATGAATAAAAGACTGTATAATATATTGAACCTAAAAGACGGCAAGAAATATAAAAGTAAAACTTCAGAGAACTTATCCAACTCTGCAAACTAAAGTAGACCACCTATGACACAGAGCAAAAATACCATTTCGCTTGCTATACAATATAATAAATCCGTAATAAAAAGAAATAACCAAAATGAGACCAACGAACATTAGAGAAGTGCTAAAAAAAAAAAAAAAAAAAGAAGATTAACAACTAATAACGCCCAACTAAAAGACAAAGCTTATATGCTAAATAACTACCGTTGGCAAAGAAAAATCAAAGGTAAAGTACAAAGTACTAACATACTAATTAAACTATACTATACTATTAGAACAAAAGCGAAACGCATAGATCAGACAGAGCTTAAACAACTCTTGTTAAACCTGAACGGATAACACTGTAGTGAAGATAACCTCGAATCTACTGGATAGATACGAATAATCGAATCTGACGACAAAAGTGAAACATAAGGAAACCTTATTAGTTGAAACTATAGGAGTAATTAACCTAAAAGACAACCACATTGTAACCACCAGACACTACGGATCTGAACTATTGACGCTAGCGATAACAACAATAAATAATTACAAATCAAGATTACAAAGCATAAACAAAACTCAATGAAAACAACAATACTCCAAACAACTATTTTACTATTAATAACTCTTATACAAATCCTTAAAGCACAAGTAATCAACGTAACAATACCTGTAGTAACAGTAACGCCCACTGTAACTCCAACAACAATAACTGTAACAAATTCTGCAACAATCACTGCTCAGCCCGATACAAATTATTTCACAGACACAGAAGCCGTAAACACACTAATAGCATTAATAATCACAATTCTAACTGCCATAAGCACAATAACCACAATTGTCTGCACTTGTAAACGAAGATTAGCCAAAAAGACTCAACAAGTAAATCATCTGAATAATTAAATTACACAACCCCCTGGATATCAACAAACAAACCTATACACGTAAAAATAGCTCATAGAAAGTATAAATAGAATTGCTTGATTAAAAAACAAAAAATTCTTATACACCAAATAATTAAATACCAAAATAGGCAATACAATACTTACAATAGATGCTCACTAAATAAGGAATAATTATATCTATAATAATATACAAAAAATCAACTATTAGTAGCTCTAATACACAAAACAACCCATGATCATAGATATCATACTGATACTGAGTACAACAATACTATTATTAACAATACTGATAACAACAATAACATTAGCCATAATCCACAATCATAGACTGTATCAAATATTACTAATCCTGGAAAGAAACAGATAACTAATAACCAAACACAGATAACATTCAACAATACATTGACAACAATCCAATTGCAATACAATTACTTTACAGTATAATCATTGAATCATTGATAACAATAATATTAATAACAATTCTATATTGTTGCTATAAACACCAACGCTATAAAAAGCGAATGAACAAGACCATCCCTGAAGCAAATCAATACCTCGAACAATCTGATACATCAATCTGTTGTTAAACAAAATAAATAATCTAACCTTATACAGTATGTCAAACAATAATTATCAAAGACCACTACAAAGACCAATCGCACCCTTTAACTACCATCACGGAATACCAAGAGTAATCACACCAAGAGTACTAACCGTACCTCAACAAAGACCAGTGATACCTTACGTACAATATCAAAGGCCAAATATACCAAGACCATTACAACAAATACCGATTGACAATCAACTACAACAACAGTTAAATCAACAATTTGGAATAACACCAAGACCTGTTGTACCATATAACACAGCTCCACCAAGAATATCAAGGAAACCTAGACACCTACAATTTCTCAAAAAGAAATAAATAACAGAGAATAACAACGATAATAATAATCAGAACACACTCTTAGAAGTATTCGGTGGAATAACTACAATATTAGTAATATTAGGAACAGTAGTATTGATACTTATAATTGCAAAGCTCAAACAGCTTAGGAAAAAGAAACAACAAGCAATTGACCAAAACTTACCGCCATATACCCAAAAAAAAGCAATACAAAAAACTATACCAAATATATCAAATATTAACCAAACATTTGGAACAAGATACTAATACATGTCAATAATACAAATATCAATTATACCATCAATTGTACTTAGTACAATAATCAATACCATAACTGCGACATTCACACCAACATCAACACCATCTATAACCCAAACACCGGGATACCTACAAGATACAAACGTAATCGATACATTCATAGGAGAAGTAATATTCATAATAGTAGTAGCAATAACTACAACTATAATTATCTGTAGAAATAGAAATCATCAAAACGAACTAAAAGTTCTTAAACAAGATTTTGAAAATCAAAGAATAATAAATAACGTTCACACATTACAAGAACAAAGTGGATAATCAACAAGAAAATACTTTAATAATCATAACCAGTGATCATACAGTATCAACATTAAACGTATCAATAACTTGGATGTACAACATTATCATAGTATTAGCAGTATCAGAAAAACCATTCACATATCTCAATCAAACTATACAACTTACTATAGTATCAATAGCAATAGTAACAACTATATCTATAATAGCAAACACTATTATATGTGCAAAAGAAGTAACAGTATTGGTAAATTATCAAAAGAAACTGAATGAACTGCCCAGATAAAATCGAAAAACTCAAAAGACTTATAATAAAAACAACAGAATATAAAGGGATAGTAACTAAGATATTAGAAGAAAAACCAAAAACAATTAAAGAAGAAAAAGAAATCCCAAAACAAATCAAAATAAAAACAGAAATATCACTAATACTTAAACAAAGCCTAAAACTAATAGTACCGCAAGCAACAGACCTATACGTGTACCTAGAATTCAAAAAGAAATTTAACCAAGGGACCTTATCTATAAATAAATTGCTATACTTAGCAATTAAAGCAAAACAATATAATGAACCAAAAGAGTTCATAGAAAAAATATTAGACAAAGCACCATACTTATCTAAAAAATAATTAATGAGCTATGGAGAAATTGGAAACGAAACATACATAAGAGTTTTCCAACAATATTTTAACAAATATCCAAACCCACCATCAAACGAACATAAAATAAAACTACAAGAAAAACTTAAAGAATTTGATCAAAAAATCAAAGAATACTTAAACGAAAATCCAATAACCAAAAGAACTCTTATACAAAAAGAAATATACCCAAAGGAATTAACTAACGAAGAAATAACAACATACTTAGTATACTCATTAGTGACAGCAGACAAATCAAGAGTCAAATCAAGCCTAGAAACCATTTCAAGAAAATCATTCAACATTAAAAATTGGTTAAAACATACTCAGTGCACTTATCAAGGACAACTATATCTGAATAATGGCAGCAATAGTAGAATTTGAATCACCCAAAAACTTGGAAAGACTAACATCCTTAATATCAGAATTTGATAGAGCAATTAAAAAATATAGAGAATGGAGAAACCAATTAGAAAATGCATTCAAAGCATTAAGATTAGGAGACCTAATTATATTTGGAAAATACTCCGGAACACCTAAAAAGGGATATACATTAAGAGGAAGAGATTATATCTCAACAGCAAACAATGCAAATGAATGTAGATGGAGTACGGAGATAATGCAAACAGTATTTGCAATAATCAGAACAAAATTAAAGAAAGATGCATTAGAAGTATTTGACTCAGAGATAGCAACTATAAATTGTTATTTCAGATCCAACTTAGACAACGCAAATGATTTGAAAGATGCAGAAAACTATCCGATAAAAGGAATAAGTTACTTACAAGTAGCAGGAGCATAGCACGCCTCTGCAACAGCAGAAAAAACAAGAATAAACCTAAACGTTACAGACGCGACAGCACAAAAAGGATTTAGAGACGTATTTGACGAAAACTTCACAAGAGACTCAGTACAATCATTGAACCAAAAAGAATTTCTTAAATTCAACTTTTACAAAAACCTGGACTAGAGCGACGACTCAGGATTAAGAAAACAAATCAATCAATATAAGAAACTTAAACAATTGTCAAATTGGCAATAGGCTCCAAACTTCTTTGGAGGAAACTACATGTACTTAGTAGAAAGAATACCTAAAAATATAGCTCAACAAATTACATTAACAACCCCAATACCAAATAATGAAGAAGATTTCTTCAGAAGAGCTGATTCTCTATTCAGAGCAACAAGAGTAACAATGGACATAGTAGAAAAATCTAAAAATGAAAAAACAAATCATTATTCTCAAAGAACTCAAAGAATAAATAATGTACAAACAGAACAACCTCAAAAAGGAAAATGCTACTCATGTGAACAAATAGGACACTTTGTAAAAGAATGCCCAAAACGAAAAGGAAAAGAAGCATATAACAGAGTACAATCAACTTACAAAAACTATAATGGAAGACAAAAGAAAACCT